CATTACTCCAGTCAAATCACAATGAGCTCCAATCAACTACTGGTCCCTTGATCCTTGCAGATAAACTCACAACATTACAGTCTCTGTTGACTGAAGTGCACCCCGAGACAAACACACACACACACACACACACACAGGTCACATGCCAACAGCCTCACACTGGGGACAGTCCTGACACATCACATACTCTGTCACTCGGCTCACTGCAGTAAAAACAGGGAGGTGTTGTGTGGTGAGGAGAACAGCTCCAACACTGATCTCCTCTGTTCATCTCCTCAGGACTCCTGACTCCACTAACAGGAACCCACAGTTTGGGTTCTGTGTGGAGTCCACATTTAGAGAACCAACAACCTTCTTAGACGTTCCCACACCTTCAGCTGATCTCTGTTCTTGTGACCATATATACAGGACCAGGACAGAGTAGTGGCTGAAGGTTGTGGAGTTGCTCCACTCCTTCACCAACCGACCCTCAGTGGCAGCGTCACACTCCTCTGACTCTTTTGTCAGTGACCTTCACTGGGCCTCAGTCCACACACATCGCTGCCCCACTGTCAGTGCTCCACCCTCTGCCTGCCTCACCCTCGGTCACACACATGGACTCGCTCTTCATCCAGCTGACCTTTCACTGGTCCAACAGTCACATTTCACTCATTACTTCATGTATTCATAACCAGTTCAGAAGTTGATAACCAGCTGTGGTCACATGACGTTAAACTCTGACCTGGACTCTCTGAAGTCATTAGTGATTATATTCAATTAGGAACCTGACAGATAGCAGTCATGAACATTGTCATAGTATGTATGTGGACCACATGTGTGTGACATGTGTGAGTGAAAAAAAGGAACTGAGATTTTTCTGTTAAACCTGTTGTTAATGTCAAGAAACCTGCAGTGATTTGACCTTTGACCTGAGGACAGAGGAAACCGAGTTATCACTGCTGTCTTGTGGACATTACTGTTGTCTCGGGGACATCACTGTTGTCTCTGAGACATCACTGTTGTCTTGGAGACATCACTGCTGTCTCAGGGACATCACTGCTGTCTCTGAGACATCACTGTTGTCTCGGGGACATCACTGCTGTCTCAGTGACATCACTGTTGTCTCAGGGACATCACTGTTGTCTTGTGGACATCACTGTTGTCTTGTGGACATCACTGAGTCAGATTACAGTGACTTCCTGTGTTCAGAAACTAACTTTTAAAAAAGCCTCTGTGTTTGACGAGCCTTGTGGTAAATATGAAAGGAGACTAAGAGTGAAGTGTGGACATCTTGTCAACAGTACTGTAACACTGTGTTGACTGTATGGGGTTTTACTTCAGTTGTCAACAAACCAACGTTAAGGAAAACCAACTCTCTCCCAGAACTCTACTCTGAAGTCTGCAGCCACTCTGACATCAGTCGGGGAATTCCCTCTGTCTGAGAAACGTGTCTGTGTCTTCATCCTTGGACGTCTGCCAACCGAGCAATTTCAATCCAGACCGAAAAGTAACAGATTAAAGGCACAGAACCTGGAGCAGAATTTGGCTCAGTGTCAAAACTACAACAGTTTTTACTTAGCTGCTGCTGAATGTCACCCATGTGAGGTGTTGTTTCTGGTGTCACACTGACGCTGTATTTATTGGTGACACACCAGGTGAAAACTCAGGGTAAGTGATGGTTGTCTTCAGTTCAGACAGGGACAGACAGTGGCTCCTCTCCCTGGTGGAGCTTCACAGTTCACAGTGACAAACCTCCAGCAGTCATAAGGTCTTGTGGGCGGGGCCACTTTATGGGATCACCACTGGCTAATTTAGCAGGGAGGACTCCCATTGGCTGTGACCCCACAGGTCATCTTGTGGTGGAAGGTTGGCATGACAACGACACTGATTGACACTGGCAGGTTATTGCTTCACATAATGGGATTACAGAGAGTGGGGTGAAGGGGGGGTGATGGAGGTTTGGCAAGAGCACTCAAGGTCCTCTGACCTGCAATGAGCTGATTGGTAGGACTAACCAACTTCAGACAGGTGTCCCCAGGCTCCACCTGGGGGAAAGTTAGAGAACTGATTGTTCTGGGATTTAAATGACCTTAAATACTGAGTGGCTGGCTGAGGATACACACTCCTTTGATGCTTCCTCTGTCCAATCAGTGGTCGTGGTCAGTGGCTCAGCTCAAAGAGTCTTCAGTGGGACAGAACTGGACAGAGTTTTCACTGCAGAAACTGACTGGATTGATGCAGAAAACACACACACACACACACACACTTCCAACCGTCAGACGAGCAGTGTGTATGTGTGTCTGGGGGGTTAGGGGTGGGGGTATAAGCTGGCTCTCTGTATGCTGACAAGATAACTGTTCTGGATTGTTCTTCTGCCTCTTATAGTTTACTTTAACAACTGGTCCAAGTCCAGTGATTGGAGGTTTCCCTCCTCCTCTCTGTTCTTCTCTGGAGAAGGACATTGATGCTGTAGGACATTGATGCTGT